AAGGGCAGAGAGAGAGGGGGAGAGGGAATCCTAAGCTGGCATGGGAATCCATGCTGACGTGGGGCTCGATACCACCGAACTGTGAGATCGTGACCTGAGCCGGAATTAAGAGTCAGACGCTCAACTGACTGAGCCACCCAGGGGCCCCTCCACTTATTTTTTTGTTTTTTGTTTTTTTTTTTAAAGAATGCTTACAAATGCCCTGCCACTTTTAGGAGATTACCTGAGAACTGTGCCCAAGAATAACCATCCTATTTTCTCATTTTTCCAACCGCCATTATGCATACCTGATTCTCTTTTCCCCTTTTCTTGGTGTTTGGGCTTAAGAAAAAAATCTAAAACTCGCTTTAAATATTTTTTCCAGATGGTTTTGAATTATGTGCATTTTTAAAAAGTTCAATATGGTCAAAGTACAGTGTATGTACATATGATGGAATATTATTCAGCCTTAAGGAAAGACATTTTGAAACACGGCTAAACCCTGAAGACACGCTAAGTGAAATAAGCCAGACACCAAAGGCCAGACTTGGTACGACTCCACTTCCAGGAGGTACCTAAAGCATCATATTCATAGAGACAGGAAGTAGAGCGGAGGGAATGAGAAGTTACTGTTTAACGGGAGTGGAGTCTCAGGTTAGGAAGATGAAAAGGTCTGGAGGTGGATGGTGGATGGCTGCACAACAACATGAATGCACTTAATTCTACTGTACACTTAGAAATGCTTAAAACGGTACATTTTATGTTATGTATGTTTCACCACAATACAAACTAAGTCACTGTGGTATTATAAAGATAACATAAAGGAAAAGAAAATAGCTTCACAGGCAATCTATTGCTCAAAATATTTCAGACTCCGTAATACAATAAATCTAGAAGGGCCATGTGAGGGTCTGATTCAGTGCTCGTATTTAAACATGGGGAAACTGAGCCCAGAGGAGGGAAGCAACCACTCGTGATCACAGGGGCCATTAAGAGCACAGGAAGGATTGGACCCCAAGTCTCAGGGTCCTTTTTACCACATCATATTGTGATGCTTCCTCTATGGTAATTTTGTGCAAATGGATTCCATTTCCATCTACCGTGTGCTCAGTCACAGCTACTACTGCTGCAGGACTCATTAATGACCCTGCAAATCCCATAAGATTCTCTGAAAAATCACAAACTAGCACGAAGCATTACAAATATCGGTATGGTTCAGTTCCATGTGCCCTTGCAATTGCTCAAGAGGGCTCTGGGGCCCAAAGATAAATAATTCACTTCGTGGAGTAATCAGGAAGAGAATAAAGAGCAGGAAAACGTCCCCTTTCCTGTCTTCAGCACAAGTATTGAAGGTAATCTAAATTTAGGATCTAGTACCTTTGTGGCAAAGCAGAGGCAGCTGAGATTAGGCTGAATCTTAGCTTTCAATTCTACAGCTTTTGTTAAAGCTTGGATTACAGCCGATACAGGACCCGAGTCAGAATCTGTTTCAGTCTTTGTTAACTACCTGATTCCTATGGTTCTGCTGCCTGAGTAATCCTGCCTCCAGCTGCTTGGGTTTCTAAGCCCAGATACTCAGGGCAAGCATGGACCCGGCCAAACCTGAATTTCACGTGGGACTCCATCAAGGGCTCATACTGCCCTGCAGTTCCTACCCATGCCCTCTCCCAGGCTGCGCTCTCTTAATCACCCACTCCTATCTGCCTTGTAAATAAAGGAAAATTCCAGCTTCACAGATGGTTTTCTCATCCACATCTCAAAGCAGAAGTTAATACTGGCCAAACTGATATTTTTCTGAAGATATGGGCTTTGAGTCTGAGCTGATTATTTTAACATTCGTTTAAAGGAGAGAAAATCTGAGGAACACAGATATGATATTGGATTTAGGTGACAGTATGAAAATATCATGGTTGTTAGACACTAAGTCAGCTAGCACGGCCTGGGCAAAGCTGCCAACTCATGAAAACGTGTTTCTAACCAGTCAACTTTATGTCCCAGTGGCTTCTTCAAGTCTAGACACAGAAAGCTAGTACCTCAGAACTCTATTTAAAGCTTCTCTCAGACACACAGATCAGTGCTCCACAACCTCTCTGAATATACACAACAGTGAGGTGAACAGAATGAATCCCCAGTAAACACGTGCCAGTGACGCTGGAGACGTGCTGGGGCATTATTCCGCTGTTTCCAATGGAGAGAATCAGTCCTATGCTTGTGACATTCAGGAGTCAAGAATTTCAAAACACCAAAACTCTATCGTCAGATACAGTCCACCAGCCTCTGTCTGAATCCATGCAACCTCCCAGGAAGCGTTCTGAGACAATACTTTTGACTGACTTTTGAAGCTGGTCAGCCAGATAGCCCGCGGCAAGTATCAACCAGATGTCACTGCGAGGGGAGGTGGGCACTGAAAGCAGAAATGAGCCATGGCCTTGGTCTGAGAATGCTTAAATTAGTAAGAGCTGGCATTTGTTGAGGACTTACCATGGGCCACACGTTGTGTCAAACACTTTCTGTGCACTGTCTTGTTAATCGCCACAACTATCCTGTAAGGTGGTACCATGATTATCCCCATTTTATAGATGGAGAAACTAAAGTGCTGGGGGGTTTGTCTAAGGACAAAGGGTTGCTATGTTGCAGAGATAGGATTCAGCTTCGGACCTCCATGATTCTGGAACCCAAAGTCTCAATGCTCACATCATAGTGCTTCTTTTCATAACCTAGGAAGGCCATCCACTTACAAAGAGTATAAACGTAACTGGGTGTTCTTTCAAATATAAAAAATAAGAGGGGAGCCCCTGGGTGGCTCAGTTGGTTAAGTGTCCGACTTCGGCTCACGTCATGATCTTGCGGCTTGTGAGTTCGAGCCCCGCATCAGGCTCTGTGCTGACAGCTCAGAGCCTGGAGCCTGCTTTGGATTCTGTGTCTCCTTCCCACTCTGCCCCTCCCCTGCTTGTGGTCAGTCTCTCCCTCTTTCTCAAAAATTAACATTAAATAAATAAATAAATAAATAAATAAAAAGTAACAAATTGGTTAAATGTTGCTAGATAGAGGTCTAGAGAGGATTTACTTTAATGAATACATGAGAATTATTTATCAGTACATGAATAGTCTGTATCTAAACAGGTGTTTTTCAAGAACTGCGTGCTGAATATTACTGTGTGTGTGTTTTTTTCAATGTTTATTTTTGAGAGAGTGAGAGAGACAAAGCATGAGTGGGGTAGGGCGGAGAGAGAGGGAGGGGCAAAGAGAGAGGGAGACACAGAATCTGAAGCAGGTTCCAGGCTCTGAGCTGTCTGCACAGAGCCCAACACGGGGCTCGAACCTATGAACCTTGAGATCGTGACCTGAGCCAAAGTCGGACACTTAACCAACTGAGCCACCCAGGCGCCCCTTATTGTTTTTGTTTTTAAAGCAGCTTAAACTGTTCTCCAAATTCAAGCTGCTCAAATTTCTGACAGTCTGAATAGGTGCTAGCTGAAAAGAAGTGACTCTGCTGTAGCATATAACTCAACTCATCAGTGCTGAGGTGACACAATCTGTGAAGAGATGTCTTGAAGCAAAGGACTGAAGTGAACAGAGGGGGTGAATCAAGGAAGCCTTCCTGGGTGAGGTGAACAGTTTCTCAGTACCAAAAAGATCAGCCTTTCTTTTCTTTCTTTCTTTTTTTTAAACATTTATTCATTTTTGAGAGACAGCGCAAGTTGGGGAGGGGCAGGGAGAAGGGGACAGAGGATCTGAAGCAGGCTCCAGGCTCTGAGCTGAAAGCAGCAAGCCCGATGTGGGGTTCAAACCCACAAACCTTGAGATCATGACCTGAGTCGAAGTCTGGTGCTCAACCGACTCAGCCACCCAGGCACCCCAAGATAAGCCTTTCTTTGCTTGCTACTCTTAAGTGGCTTCTGCCCAGCCACTGT